TTGATTTAAATGGTTACTTCATTCATGAACTCAAGATCATTGTCCATGGCCTTCAAGCTGTCCGGTCGGCGACAAGCAAACTTCTGACACTCCATCAAACAACCGGTTACGACATACAACTTTCAATAAATCAAACTCTTGTAGATAAAATGGTGAAATATCTCTGTCTCGAGATTATGACTCAGGTTAGACCCTCAAAACTTGTGTATATATGAGGTAAATCCAAAGTTACAGGACCAGAGATAGAGACCACACAAATCCTATCCATTGCAATCCAGATCATTCAGAAAAAAATTGTTTCCTATATTAGAATTGTCGATAAGGCTAAAAGAGTGAGAATAATTCATTTCTATAGAACAAAGATATTCTTCATATATATATATATCACTAACAAATCATATTCGCGATAAAATAAAAATAGTCACCGGATAATATATATCATGGACATGACTCACAAGAAGGTAAGTCATGTCCTGACTTGGTAGTATAGGGATGAACTTATGATTGTAAGGTTGAGGGTTCAAACTATCTGACACTTACAAATCTTGTCGGTCACACATGGTTCGTTCAGCTAATGTGACTTACTTTGCAGGCTATTAAGTTTAGACTGAAATTTAACTTTGTTACTCTTTATAAAATATTTGCTTTTATTTTTATTTTCATATTTTGACTATATTAATTTTGTTGCCCATGAATTTGTTTATTGCATATATTGTTACATATATATTTAAGGATATATATATTGTTCATAAAATTTTGAACAAGAAATTTGATCTCATCAATTTAATTTTCAAAATTATCAAAATTCAATTTTTTAATGTGATTGAATTTGTTTAGTACTAAATGTAGATTTGAAATTGGATTGATTGATTTAAATTCTCAAAATAAGGTGTTTATAAAGAAATTCGGATTCGATTATTGTATATACAATATACTATAAATGAATGGGAATATTATTACTATCGGTAAAATCAATACTTCTAAAAAGAAAAAGGGGAATATTTTATGGTAAAAAATTCATTCATTTAAGTTATTTCTGAAAAAAAAAAAAATCTTCTTGAATTTCATCCATTGACCATCAACTATTATATTTTATTTTATTTTAATCTTTCGCTGTATCCCGAACTCACTCGATCATTTTATTTCTTTTAACATATCATAACGAAAATTTTAGAGTTAATAATATATTTAAATTTTTTATTTATATGATATCAGTAAATTTTAAAAAATATATTTCGTCATAATATCTACAATAAGTTAAATAAATATGTATCGATTAAATAAATAAAGGCTAAATAATACTATTGGTTTAAATAGTTATTGATAAATTATATAGAAATATATGCAGCAATCAAGATATTGTGTTTCATTATATATGTCATATAATTTTAAATAGTAACGAAAAAAGATTAATTAAATTTTTTGTAACAAATTACGATATTGAGGACACTTTGTTTAATTTTGTTATTATTCTAAATAGTTGTGAGCAATATTCTATGAGAAAAAAATAAATAAAATTGTAAATGTTCATGTTACTAATAGCATGACTTTAAAGAGTCACAAAAATTATATTATAATCATATTTATAACAATTTAAATTATTCCATACATTTTTTTTTATTTGCACCACAACTTAAATTAATCACGGAAAATTTTCATAACAATATCTATAACAAATGAAATTAACCGGCATTTAATTGAAACATAAAGTACGAAATTGAAATATTATGAATATATTGGTTACTCATGTCATTACTTTAAAGGTAAATTATATAACACTATTTTGTGTTTTAGTAAAAATGGAAATCGTGAAACCCTCTTGTGTTAATTTAAAGTTTGCATGAAACACTATATTCGTTCAAAACTAATATTTGATTGTAAATATGAATCCAATAATGCAAATTTTATACAAATAAAAGAGATAAAATATTTTAAATAATTTTTTTGGAAAAAAAATAAAATAATTGATTAAACTTTATTTTATAGTTTTTGAAGACAAATTATTATCTAATTTTTACAAAAACTATAAAAATAAATAAATAATTTCGGTATATTGTGGCCATCCACCCCTAAACAAATCCACTTATAACTACACAGTTATCTCAAATATGTGAGAATATTACAATTAATTAATCATCAATACAATAATTGGAGGATACTATAGACAGAATATACAAAATTCTGATGTGTAGCCAACAACAATCAATAAAAACAAATCTGAAGGCAGCAACAATCACTTTCAAATCTTCCAATGCATGATCATGTAGTAGTCACTAGTCACCACTTCTTAATTTATATATATATATATATATAGATAGAGTGGCGGATCTAGAATTTTGAATTTGGTGGTCGATAAATTAATATAATTAAATTAAAATATAAATAAATAAATATATCAACAAAAATTTACATTAGAAAAATACGAAATTTGAAATTAACAATAATTTATACATCAAAATAGTTATAAATATTCACGACGAGATCTTATATTTTGGTATCGGCCGAAAATAGCATTTATATTAACTTTCGTAAACACATCTCTTTCTAGAAAAGTAACAAAACAATCGTTTAATAATTACTCTTCCATACTATTCCGTAATTTTTTTTTGATTGATAGTTATAGTTGAAAATAATTTTTCCACGTTTACAGTTGCTATTTTTTCTTGTCTTAACAAGTTCCATCGAACATTCATTTGAAATTTTCAAATCTCAAAATATTTCCACATTAAACATCAATAATGAAATTACCTAATAACGATTCGAAAATCATCAATTTTGCTTCTGACAATTCTGTAGAATATAATTATGCAAGTAGTTGTAATATCTTTTTATTAAAAGAAGAAAGTCGATTGGAGGGAAAAAAATAAGACATCAATAAGTTTTTTGATGAGTCTTTTCGAATACCGAAACTAATTCATGAAATAAAAATAGAATTAATACTTAAGAAGGATATATTTGTAATTTAGTGATAATTATTATTATTTTTAATTTTTTTTGGTGGGTCAATTGACCCACCTTGCCTACTACTGCATCCGCCTCTGTATATATATATTTATAATTCAACACATGTTCTGTTATAATTCAACATATGTACTATTTGTAAATATATGCTGATTATGTGTATAACATATGCTGATCCGGTCAAATCAACATCATGACTTGGTCGGATCAGCACATGATCTGCCATACAATAAATTTTTGTATCAATGGTCGACTAAAATGATGTTTATATATTGTTTTTACGTTATATTCCATCCGTCCCACTTATTGTATCAATTTTTCTATTTTCGTCTGTCTCACTTATTCTGTCAATTTTCTTTTTTGAAAAAGTATTATACGCTTTAATCTCATTTTAAAATTTTTATTTTTATTTTTAATAAATTTTACTAATTAGTTATCTTAATCTTAATTTAAAATTATTTTTATTAAATAATTATTTTCACTAATACATTCATAATTATTTACTAATTATATTTCTCCTAAATTCTTGTATCTACAATAAACTGGACACCTTATCGGGACTGAGGGAATATGATTTTAATATATTTAAGGAGCTTAAGTATCCTTATATATAGCTTATTGCATATTAGTTGTTATGCATTTATTATATTTTATTTATATAATTATGCTCAAAAAATAAAATTTTTTATTTTAAATATAAAATATGTAGATGTGTTTATTAATACTTCATATTATTGACTTATTCATGTCATGTTAAATAAGACATTAAGTAAATAAATATCAGTAAAAATTATATTGATGTTAACATCATCAATTAATATAATTTATCATTACATAGTACATAAATAACTTTTATTTATATTCTAAAATCAATCATATATATGGGAAGAACCATCTTCCCCTTCACATTAGTCTAGCCTTTTTCATTTATCAATCATATCTTTCCTTTCAATATCTACTTGAATCCCGATAAGTTTCGTTTCGAATAAATTTATTATTATAAAATATTTTCTTTAAATAAAATTGATAAATTATATCGTAGTCTTAGCGAATAATATTATTTTTATATGGGTAATATAGCATATGTCGATGTTTTCAAAATATATTACACTGTTGATGAATACAACATATAATGTAACAATTCATATTATATACTCATGTAGACTACTATGACTAGACGGCCGCGCTTTTTCAAGCATTGTAGTTTCATACAAATTTTATTGTGAGTTTGCTCATATATAAGAGTTTTCTGTTCGGATTCAAATGTAAAAAATGTTGAAAAATAATCGTGAGCGCGTGCAATATATCTAGTATTGCTGCAATAAGGAGGGATTACATAAAAATAGTAAAATTCGGAGAACATCGTTGTTCCATCGCATGATAAAATGATAACTTACTATTAATTTTATCATTTAATTAATAGTATTTTAGGCGAAATTAATAATATTATACAATAATCAATTCTAGTTAACATTGGATTATCTTATCATAGGATTCATTAAAATAATACATGTATTATAATTATATCTTACAAAGTAAATGCACCTTGAATGTATTAATTAGTACGATTTTTTAAAAATAATTTAAATACTAATATGAATATAACACGAATGAAATATAAAAAAATTATATGCTTGAAAATAATAACATAACATGGAAATCCGCAGTTGTTGCCAAACTAGGCCGTGGACCTGAAGGCGCAAGATTTGAACCCCTGACCTCACACACACAAGTTCACTCTCCACGCCACCAAATCATCATTTACGGGCCATATTGATTAGCTCTGATCAGCATATGGATAACAACATATTCTTTTTTTTTTTTTTTTTAATTTAATCGGAGATAACTGTTGAAATATTATTTCATTTTTCAGGTGTTATTTAAATAAGAGTTTACTAGAATCACTAGTAGACTAAGTCAGAGTTTGTTATTAAATTTGTTGAGAGTCTTTTGGAGTCTGTTAACCATTTGAAAATTTTCTAGACTAAGCCTATATATATAGGCTCCAGTATGCTTTAATAAATACAATTTTGGCAGCAATTTATTCTCATCTTAATATTATCTCCCAATTTTTTTTCAACAATAACAACATATTAAAGCTAACACAACAATGTACGGCTAATCAACACAGTATTGATTAGCCCTGATCAGCATTTGAATGCCGTCATTTTTTTTTTTTGATCGGATAACAGATCCTTTAATACGACTTATGGCTAATCAACAAACTATTGATTAGCTCCAAAAAGCTAACACAACAACGTACGGCTAATCGACACAATATTGATTAGCCCTAACCAGCATCTGAATGCCGCCATTTTAATATCTTAATTACACACAACACGCGCGTTATTTTAATAACAACGAAATAATTAAATGGTTACCGCTCCCATGAGCTCAACATCGTCTTCCATGGCTATCATAGTCTCCGGCGACAAGCAAACTTCCACGTCGACGCTGCCATCTTGAGCCGCCGGAAGAATCGTCACCTTCCCATCAAACTTTTGCCTTCCGCCGGTCATGGAAGCAACCGATTTTCCGCATCCAAAATCGCAGCTACGGATATCAAAGAAGCGCGGTGAACCGGTGATGAGAAATTTCACGGACCCCTTACTCGGGATCACCGGTTTCTCGATCCAATCTTCCACGGACTTGATTATGGCTTCCCTAGTTTGTCGACCAACGAGTTCGTTGATCTTTGCGGCAACAAATTCGAGCCCGTTCTGTAGAATTTCATGCTCGGTAACCTCAATCGCATCGCGATGAACCGCATTGCCAAAATAGCCGTCCGGCAAGGGTATTCTTGATCTTGCGTCGACTAATAGAATAAACGATTGCGGCTCTTTCACATGAGTAATACTCTCCGAGTGTCGCGCGCGCACGACGCCTCGCCATAGATGAGCTGATAGAGCTTGAAATGTCGAGATTTTCATTTTTTCGTCGCAGCCGGATTTCGAGTTGGCCTTGTTTTTTAGCTCGGCTAAACTCTCTTTGCTAAAGTGAAAAACTCTTTCGAGCAAGGGCGGAGGAGGAGTGGCGTTGGCCGTTGGATTTTGATCGAACGGTGGAATACGGATCGGATGATTTATTTCGTCGCCAAAATTGCTCGGGAGCCAACGATCGAAAACCGGGGGCTTTGATATCGTGTCGAAGCCGCGCGCAAGTTCGGACCAGGAGTGGAAGAAGTGCCAGAAAGATATCGCGTCGGCGACGACATGATTAATTGCGCAGCTGACGAAGAAGCCATCGTCGAGCTCGGTCACTTGCACCGCCGCCAACGGCTTCCAAAGCTCCTCGCAGCTCGGAGTTTCTTTCTCCGGGAAGAACGACGCCAACACTTTCCGAGGCATGTACTCTGGCTCGACAAGATTCGCGACCGACACTCCGCGCGCGACAGCGTGAGTGAACTCAGCTCCCGCATCGTTGCAATCGATGAAATACGACTTGGCGCCGTCGTCGACGTGCGTGACGGCGCCGAGACGGCCGGAGAGCGGCGGGAAGAAATCGAGCGTCCGGGCGAGCGAATTCTTGAGGCGATCGATGAACTCTTGATTCGGACGTTCGTCGAACAGAATCCCGGCGCGATTTGATTCGTACAAAAGGTTGATAAGGTCCCATGGAGTTAGCTCCATAGTTTTCGGCACCTCCGGCGGCGGCGGCCGCGGTCGGAGTCGCGCGCCGGTCATCGGAACCAGACAGGATTGGACAACGTTGATTGTCGCCATTGGCAATAATTTTCAGAAGTACTGCATTGAATTGATCGTTCGACTTGGCTGAATATATACTATACGACAATCTGCGAATTGCATTTCGATTATTGTTTGTGGGTGGAGCTAAAAACAAATGGAGCTTTATGTTTTAGTATCTCTAGTTCGATTGATTTTATTTTTTTTAATTATTTGAATAACTTGAAGCTAATATTTTATGATAATAATTTTATTTATTTATTTATTTATTTTTTGTTATAGAACTAATAAAAATAAGTTTGTTTTATTATTTTAGCAAAAATATTTAGGGTAAATATTTTTTTGTCCAGTATATCACATTTTTTATTATTTTAGTAGATTAAATGGACTATGTCGAAAATAGTTTATAAGTAATTTTTTTTTTCACTAAAATAGTCTTTTGGTGTTGGATTCGCCATGTTCGCCACCGTTGCTGACGTAATTGACATGTCATTGTCACGTAGATGCTACGTCAGCGACGAATGAAAATTTTTTATTTTATAAAATATCTTAGTAAACTGTTTTTTTAATGTCATATATTTGACCTCCTTTATTATTTAAAGACTTTAAATGAAGCATGTTTGAAAATAGTCTCACACCTAAATTTTTTTCTCTAAACTGGTCATCCAACATGTCACTAATGCCAATAAATGTTAGACGCATGAGCACCACGTCAACAGTGGCGGATAGCGTGGTGAATTCGGCACCAGAGTACCATTTTAGTGATTTTTTATTTATTTATTTATAAGATTATTTTCATACATTATCTATTTAAAATTTTAAAATAATAAAAGGAATCAAATTACCCAAAAATAAGCCTTTTGTTTTAATATCTCTAGTTTGTTTCATTACTTTTTTACTACTATTTCTATTATTTTTTATTATTATTATACAGGATAAAAAAGCACATAGTGTAATATTAAAATTCGAAGCAAAAAGTAAATGAGTCTATTTTTTTACTACAAAAGAGTATATTTTAACGGAAAATTACTAATAATGGCAGTGTATTTTTAAGGGTGTTTGCCTGCTCTTATTTTTTGATGAAAATTATGACAAATTTTTTAATGTTTTTATTTCTATTATTTTTTAAAAGAAATAATTCAGACATGAATTGTTTTGTGTAGAAAACCAGAATTTTTGAATAGTAAAAAAAAATGGAGAAAATTTCATAAAAGATAGAATATATATATATAAGAAAGTAAGTAAAAATTGAACAAACAAAAATAGTACGTTCTTCACGTGTTTTTGTTGTATGGTTCAAACTTGATAAAAAATCAATCAATTTTAGATTCATTCAAAATAAAATTAATTAATTTTGGTCTTATTGTTAGCTTCCCAATGAAAATTGCCGACATTTAATATGGATCGAACACGATCGTATTTGATGGAATTCGATTGTACGCAAAAAAAAATAAATAATAATAATAATTAAACTTTATAAGTAACCAACATAGCCACATTGGATTTCACACGACCGTGTTCAAATCGTATTCAAATATGAATGCGACAACATGGTCATGTTGAACATGCACTACCATAAAAATGTCAATTTATCTCGAAATTTTGTCTCGGTAAAAAGTTTCGAGATAATTCTGTGTCACGGAATCATACGTTGCAGCCCTGTTTAAATACAGCGTTTTTGGAGCGAATAAGTATCAATTAGTTGTACTACTTGTTAAATGCATACTATAAAAAAAAAAAAAAAAAAAAAATCTCAATCAAATATATATTTACTTAAAACTAAAATAACTTTCATAATTAGATAAAATATATATAACAAAGTCACTTAATAATATTCTAAAAATTCATTGCCATTTTATAAAAAAATAATCATTAACATATTATTTCAAAATTCATAATAAATATTCAAAAATAATTTTAATCCATAAATTATAAATTTAAAATTAATATATATATTTACACATATGTAAGTATGATTTTAAAAAACTATTATATTTGTAAAAATTATGCAATTTGATTTTGATTTTTTTATTTTTTAACCATAATTTTTGTCAAACTACCAAAATTTGATAATTAAACTTTAAATGGTTTGTTCTTCCAACAATACTGTGTGTGTATATATATTGAAGTCAATATTATTTATTCGTATATTTTTTTTAATATATTTATTATATTAGTCTGACTTTATATGTATATTTTATCTATTGTTATATAATTAAACTTTATTTTTATTTATATATATGATTAAACTTTAAAATATAAAAAAAATATATTTTACATATATCATATGTATAAGTGTTTATCAATATTTTCTATTATTAATTTCTTTATGATATGCTAAATTTTAATAAAAATAACGCATCAACTGAATGTCAATATAAATTATATTGATGTTAAATCATTCCATAATACAAACTAATAATGTTGTGTATAATATAAATAATTCTATTTGTATATCAATATCAATCATCATATCATAAATAAATCCAAACTATAAGAAAATATCATTTTTGTAACGAAGTTTTTTCGTTCTTAAATCTATTTTTTCCGTTATTAATGATATTAGAGATGAAATTAGGAATAGAATTCTGTTAGCTATGTTAACTTTAGGAACAAAATTTCGTTACAAATATACTATTTAAATAATTGTATGATAAATATTAAAAATTATTTTATAATCTTAATTTTATATATAGTGATAAATATTACCCAAATCAAATCTTCACTACAAAAAAATAATATATTTGTAACCGAATTCCGTCCCTAAAGTTCACGTAGCTAACGTAATTCCATTACTAATTATGTCTCTAATGTCATTAGTAACGGAAAAAGTAAATTTAAAGACAAAAAAATTTTGTTACAAAAATTATTTTTTCTTGTAGTGCTTTCCAATCCAATTATATTCCAAAGGAACGCACGCGCGATCATACACAGCCGTGAGGCTTTGAGTTTTTAGAGAGTTACACGGCCATGTACTATCACACACGACTTAACTGTGACAACATGTCCATATTTTTGCTGCTACTAAAAAGTGCGCATTGAGTAAACTTTCATCCGAACTTAATACCCTGCAAATCAGACTCGACGGCCCCATGTTTTATTGTACATGACTGTGTTTTTTCAAATTCAGCTACAACATTTATTTGTTGATGTTTTAACGATAAGACTAAAATTGATTGATAATGTTTATAATGATACTAAAATTTATGTGTGTTTTTTTTTTTTTTTTTTTCATATTGGAATCAAAATTGATACATTTTGGTTATATTAGGACTACTATTCATTTTTTTCCCCTTAAATATTATTTTTTGAACACTACAAAAAAATAATATATTTGTAACCGAATTCCGTCCCTAAAGTTCACGTAGCTAACGTAATTCCATTACTAATTATGTCTCTAATGTCATTAGTAACGGAAAAAGTAAATTTAAAGACAAAAAAATTTTGTTACAAAAATTATTTTTTCTTGTAGTGGAATATTTTGAATACAAAACAATAATGAACTATTTATATCTTAAAAGATTATATACATGACATAGTATAATTTGAAAATTTTTGCACATTGAGTAAACAAAATTGGTTATATTCTTACCTCTATATGTATATATATATATATATATATATATATATAAAACTAAAAATACTAAACTCTATGGAGTTTCTTTGTATATAATCTTATGATTCTGTATAAAACTATATATTTTGCATACAAAATATTAAATCCAACGCCTATTTAATTCAAAAATTTTAATATAATTAAATACAAAAATAAATATAAAAAAAAGCCAAAATAATTACAGTATCTAAATTTATATTTTATAATGTGATGGCAAAATATAAAATAAATAATAAAATTGTCCATCGCACAAGCTTAAAACTAGTTATATATATATATATATATATGTTTGGTCTAAAATACTTTTTATTTTTATTATATACTACTATATATAGTATTGAGTTTAATACAATAAATATTAGTTGAATCAATAGTTTATATACAAAATTGCACTAAAATCAATGATTTTATAATGTGATTATATATGTTTATTGTAAATAAAATAAGTACAAAAATAATAATTATTTTGATATTTTGTTACCCAATACGTCGATGTTGAATTCAAGTAGTTGGAACATGTATAATATAGTTATGTTTGAACACTCTCAAGATATTTTGTTATACAATAGACTAGAGCCGGCGATGGGTCGATTCATGCCGGGTTTGTGTCGGGTTAAATACTTTAAACGGGTTAAATTATTCAACCCTAAACCGATTTGTTTATCATCGTGTCGAGTTCGTGTTGACCCGTTTATTATCGTGTCGGGTTCGAGTTGACTCGTGTTGACCTGTATACATAATTAAGCCGAATTTCTTTGATTCAAATTAAATAATTTTTTTTGTTATGTTGTCGTATTATGTTAATTTTTATTGGTTTGAGCGTAAATTAGGTTAAATTATTTAAAATTGAACTTAGTTTACATTAATTTATGAGAAAATTATTAAATTATGATTATTTTACATATATAATAAATATATTAATCAATATTAATATATTATAATCGAGTTGTTGTGTCGGGTTCGAGTTGAGAGCCTCAACCCTAACCCGATCCGTTTACTATCATGTCGGGTTCGTGTCAACCCGTATACATAATTAGGTTGAAATCTTTGACCCAAACCTAATTATTTCGTATCGAATTGTCGTGTTTGGTGAATTTTTGCCAACTCTACGATAGACCCACATTGAATTAAAATAGTTAAAAAATATGTACATTATAACCATGATCCAAAATGGTTGTACTTTTTTTTTTATTATTATTTTTTATCAAAAAAAAAAAAAAAAAAACCTATGTCAATGTTAAACATGTTGCAACAATATTTGAACACAGTCGTACTGACAGATGACTGTAAAATTTAATCTTTTAAGTAAATCAATGCGGATGCATTTCATCCATGTTTTCCATGTCAATAATTTCGGTTGGAAAGTTACTGGTGACACTAAAATTTAATTTTATTTTGAATGAGATTAATATTAATTGAAAATTTTTAATGAGATCAAAATTAATTAATACTCATTCGGTCGAAGATAATTATGCCATTTTGCTTAGATACACAAACTAAGAAATAATAA